TAACAAAAACAACAAGAACAACAACAGCAACAAAAAACATGTAGGTAAAAATCGCTTAAACTTCGAAGAGTCAACAAATATAGAACAATTTCTGAAATTCTCCCAAAGTGTCCATTTGATATTTACGAAAACCTTAAAATATATCTTACATATTGAAAAATCAATCAGAACCTCTAGGAATAGACAACTAGAATTTCTTCAGCCTCTCCTATGGTATTAATTTGATAGTCACGTATACTTCAAAATAGATCTAAAATGTTGAACAATCGACCAGAACATCTAGGTTCTTCAGCCTCCCATATGGTGTGAATATGACATTCACGAATACAAGTACTTAAAAAAAGACCAACAGCAGTTTTGCACTTTATGACTCAATAATATGTTACCTAAAATATGTTATTTACTTACAAGGGCATATAATATATACTAGCATATAAGACTATCTAGAATATAAGTTTGTTCTTAAAATAGAGAAAAAAAATTGAATTTGTTTTTTTAAAACTATTAAATTAATCACTTATGATTTAATTCAAGAAAATAAAAATGTTGCATATTGAGGTGTTGTTTGTAGTATGTTAAAATAAAAGAAAAAATATGTTTCTTTATTAAAGCACATTTTCCCATTATCATTTATATAAGGTTAGAAGCACATAACCAGCAGTAACATTTCATAGTGTTGACACGATGTACACTTAAACTTTAACAAAAACAACAAGAACAACAACAGCAACAAAAAACATGTAGGTAAAAATCGCTTAAACTTCGAAGAGTCAACAAATATAGAACAATTTCTGAAATTCTCCCAAAGTGTCCATTTGATATTTACGAAAACCTTAAAATATATCTTACATATTGAAAAATCAATCAGAACCTCTAGGAATAGACAACTAGAATTTCTTCAGCCTCTCCTATGGTATTAATTTGATAGTCACGTATACTTCAAAATAGATCTAAAATGTTGAACAATCGACCAGAACATCTAGGTTCTTCAGCCTCCCATATGGTGTGAATATGACATTCACGAATACAAGTACTTAAAAAAAGACCAACAGCAGTTTTGCACTTTATGACTCAATAATATGTTACCTAAAATATGTTATTTACTTACAAGGGCATATAATATATACTAGCATATAAGACTATCTAGAATATAAGTTTGTTCTTGTGTTTTTTCATACCAAATTACATGAAATGTAAGAATTGTTTGCCAATCCCCCGACAACCCCAACCCCCCACAAAACCCCCAAAGAACAACAAGAACCCCCCAGAAAAAAAAAAGAAAAAAACAACAACAAACAAACAAACAAGCGATCAAACATCACAAATGAATATATAAGAAGCACATTACGCATGCGCGAAACGAACGCTCTAATAGCAGATGTATATTTTGTAAGAGATCATTGTTAATGTTAAGTTAAATAATATTTAATTGCTCTTTGAGTAAAAGAATAAAATTTAAGAACATTATTGTCATATAACAATTATAACAAAGAACAACAGGGTTGAACAATAAGTTCTAACAACATTAGCAAATGCCTTTCTTTACAACAAGTTTTAGCAACATCATTATAATTATTTTATGTACATTGGATAAAAAAGGCATCCATAAAAAGTAGGCATTCAGTTAAAATCTCTCCAATATGAAGAAAATAATACAATTTTGTACAGATTTTATAACTTTTTTAAAATCATACACTTCCCCATTTATAGCGTTTCACCATGGAGAGACACATGAATAAGTGGTATAGTTTAGTTCAAACCAAATTTAGACTTTAATGTGTATAAAAAGCTATTTCTGATGAAATATCTTATAAACATTATAAAGGCAGTAAAATGATGCCGTTTTCGTTACCGTATAGTCGTTTCTCAAAATCTAAAACAAAGAATAATACATTATTATAACCGCCTCCGTGGTCGAGGGGTTAGAGTTGATGACTTCTAATCCAGTTACCTCTCTGGCGTGGGTTCGATCCTCGGGACATGCTTTGGTAGTTTAGCGTGGAGGAAGGTAGTCTAGTACAGGTGTTACTCTCCAGAAACGATGGTTAGGAAACTACCCGCCTATATGACTGAAATACTATTGGGAAAAGGCGTAGAATGAAACAAACAAACTAAACAAAACTTATAACTTTGCAAATATAAATATATGAATATTGTCCGTAAACGGAATAAAATGATCTGGTACAAAATATTACGCTGCTATTCTTAAATTGTTTGGCGTGGATTTTACGCATGTTCCACTCGCCTTCAATAAAGTATATTGACAAATGTCATTTGAGCCGCGTCACGACAAATCAACATAGTGCGTTTGCGACCAGCATGGATCCAGACCAGCCTGCGCTTCCGCGCAGTCTGATCAGGATCCATGCTATTCGCTTACAAACTCTATAACAAGTAGAGTTACTGATAGCGAACAGCATGGATCCTGATCAGACTGCGCGGATGCGCAGGCTGGTCTGGATCCATGCTGGTCGAACACCCATTATGTTGGTTTTGTCATGACACGGCTCATTTATTCTGCGTTTTCTGTATTAGTGAAATCATTTTACTTACAATAAAAACTATAATTTTACAATCTACTGATAACAAAATATAGCTTTTTTTACACTTTTAGCATGTTTTTCTTTTAATTCCTGGCAAAAATTGATCTTGTTATTTCGTATTCCGAGAAATTATTTACTGAAGAGTTTGTTCTTACAACACTAAAGAATATAAGAAAAGGAATTATTTTGACAACATATTGACCTCATCCCCTTGAAATGTTAATTGATGTAAAATGAAATACTAGTGCAATATGATACATTCTTACCATTTAGATTATGTGTTTTTAATGCCGATACATTTGCTTTAAATAACGCAACATGCTGCTTTCATAAATTTATTATTGTATTGTTCCACATACAAGACGTGGAATTGTGACTTGTTTACGTATTTTCTTTGTTAAATTAAAAACAGATTAACTTGTAACATATGTGAACACTTCATATCAAATCGCACCGACAGAAAAAAAAACGATAGTTAAGTTCATACCATGTTGATCATAAACATATTTCAAAATAAATTCTTTAGATAATAATGTATGTCGATATACAATGTATACAGCCCTTTAAAGAACAATGAGGAACTTATTATATGTACTGTTAGAGAAAAAGAATGTCTACCTCTCAAGCAAATTCTCTTTTTATATCTTTTCATGACAATTCATCCATTCATCACTTCTTGTAATAACTTAAACAGTATCATTTTGTATCGTTTATGAGTAACACATACTATCAGTGTACCACCAACTACAAAGATTAGTAAATTATATAAAAAATGATGGGAAAATCCGCTGTAATGTATACATAATATATATGATAAACAAAACACCGTTAAAATACTTGTAATAAAGTAATTACATTGTTATAAATTGACGGTCCGTGAATTATATCTATTTACTAGATAAATTTAGAGTCATTATATGATTATAAAAAGACATTCGAAAACTATGCAATTTTTGTGATTAAATTCTTTCAAAAGCATCAAGTCAAAAAGAAATATCCTATAACTTTTGTGAGTATAAAAAATGCAGATATAATTAAAGTTTGGTTTAATTTATCATTACCGCCTGATTTATTAAACTGTATTTTTTATGACATAAGAAAAAATGACTTTATTTCTTTTCCACAGGATTAAAGATTACAGATAAACTTTATCTGGTTTGTTTATACGGATAAAAAATATACAAGAGGAACATAGACATAAATACGTATTACACAAGTACAAAATACTTGATTTTTTTTTACAAAAATAAGCAAATTCGACACATAGATAAACAGATAAACTTAATATAATCATAATAAATTTATATCTATATATAAATATATAATACTTATGAATTTCCGTTTACCTAAAGCGTTTATAAACCTCAAATATGTTTACACTGAAAACTTATATTTTCACGAGGAGTATTTTGTAATAAATAAATATAGTGTATGTGTAAATTATACATATATTTTTTTTCTCACAGTAACAGTATTGCTGAGTACAAAGAAATTCTATGTGGTATGAGTGACTCATACATGCTTAATGCTTATCAGCTGTTGATACTAAGTGTTAGGGATTGTTTTTCGATATATTTATTACTTTTTCATAAAAATCTCCACGGCTTAACACTTCGATGCTATTTTAAGTACTCACTGTTTCAAACTTTCAAACAAATTAACCGCACATATGTGTCAAACTGTCTCTAATCGTATTCACATACACTTAAACTTTATGGATCTTCGTGAGAAATCCAATTTCATATCTTAATTCAATACCCCATGAAATTTAAGCCATGCGCTGCTATTTAAACTGCACGGAAGGGGGATTGATAACAGTGGTTTTGTACAATGATGAAGTAGAACGCCGTAGAACTCGACAGAGCGCTGATTTCTCACTATCTTTCCAATAGAGAGACGATTGGCCGTGCGGAACGGTATATAGTGAATGTTTAAAACATCAGTCAGTCCGCGGTCTATTCTTGATTACTCAGTACATGCTGAAAACAGTTCTAAACTACATATGCAAAAGTTATACTTAATAACAATTTATTTTGTATTAATTTTTATATTTACAGTATGTTACGATGATTTGATACATAAATATTATGGAGACTATTTTTACAAAAAGGATATTATTTAAAAGATCGGATACAGTTTCAACGAAATAAATAATTTGAAAACGTACTTTAATAGAAATATAACGATGTTGATGTGAAATTAGTGATATTATTAATACGATTTAAAATGAGGGACTTTGATGATTTTTCAAAAAATCTAACAATGTTTGGAAACAATTCGGAGGATTTAAATGAAATATATTTGAAACATTTCAACGAGGAGTTTAACCGTAGAGTACTTCCGGTCAGTATTATTTTTGGGCTAACAGCTTGCATAGGCTTTGTGGCAAATCTTTTAGTAGTATATGTATACGGAGTGAAGTATAAACGATGTAATTTCAAATACTTCTTATTCGTTATGGGGCTGATAGGATTGGTTCAATGTACAATGATGTTGCCAACGCAAGTTGCTGAGATGCATTACTGGTTTTCATTCCCGACGTCATGGTTATGTCGTGTGTCCGCATACGTGTTCGGATACACTGTTATAGACTGCTATTTTGTCCTCCTTTTGATAGCATTGGACAGGTTCCGGAAGGTATGCCGGCCGTATAATTGGCAAATTCAGCCAAATACAGCAAGAACTTTATGCATTATTGTATCAATCGCATCCCTTATATTTGCAACGCCACCTGGGATAGTCAGCGGGCATCATTCATTCCAGACGTCATATAATGACGTCAACATCACCGTCACAGTGTGTGCTACTGACGATATATATAAAGACAGGGACTGGGCAATATATTTTCTGCTTCTCTTTGGCGGCATACCCGTCTCTATAGTAATTCTAGTCACGTGTATTCTGTATGGAATTATTCTGAAACAATTTTACCACGGGCCCGCATTTGCTCTTAAAAGTATGTACAACACGTCGGCCAACGGCATTCCAATAGATAAACAAACTGCTGATAAAAATGGAAATCCTTTAGCTTTATCAACTGATAGCATTAATTCATCACCTGCGAGATTAGTTGAGTCTCCACAAACTCCTAAAAGAAATTTATCTGCTAAGGCGTCGCAGCTGCAAAAGGTATTCACAGCTATAATTCCGGGAGGAGACAGTATTAAAAGCACCAAATCCACTTCCAGTGGTAAATTAAGAACAAGTGGATCTCAGCTCTCAAAGAAAGGTGTGCGTCGGAAACTCATGCGTAAGACGTTGATAGTGCTGATAATAACAATAACGTGTATAATTGCTCTGATAATTACCTTTTGTTTACATATAATAGCCGAAGACATAAACAATAACGTAATGTCCATTTCTACAGCAACGCTGAACGCATTTGTGATATTCCATCGAGGAAGCTTTTCCATCATTTGTGCTATTTTTCCAATTGTCTACGGATTAAGGGATCCAAAGTTTAGAGAAGCATTTTTTGTTTTGATAGGACGATTTCACAAAAACATGGATGTTGCGAAAGAACAGGAGAATACCCGTGACGAATCAAAGTGTTAGTGAAAAACAAACAAATGTGATATAAAATCTGAGGAAATAAGTGTGGGTCATATGTGCGTATATGAACGCAGACTTTTTTCAATACTGTCAAGATGTGTTTAAAATGAAAAGGATAGATGAAACTTAACAAGCGAAATGTTATGATGCGAACATGTGGTAAACATTTCCAAAGTTACCTCTTGCTGTTTAAAAAAGATTCTATAGTTCTATATTGAGTTAAGACTGCTTCCTTTCGTAAGACAGGTTTTATGATACTTATTCTTACACATAATAATTGTTTCAAATTTAGCAGTCAAATTTGTGTTTGTATTGTTTTTGCAAACTCATGACAAGTATTTATAACTTACATTTTGGATGTAGACTTCATAAAATTATTAAAGCTGCATGCCTCTATATAAACCAAAATATTCAAAGAAAACCAACCTTGAGAAAAAAGTAACAAGATTCAAGATAAAAGTAATGATTTACATGTTATGTGCGACTTATGACCGATTTTTGTATTTTTTTCACCATATTTCGACTGTGTTACTTATGCAGTAAGGGCTATTTTTGCATATTTTGACCTCTGTTTTGGTAATTTACATGGATTGTAAGTGTTGTTTGCAATGTGAAAATTATTTTCCTTGTTCATTTCACAATATTTACTTTTTTGATAAATTTTCAAAATCAGAATTATTTTTCATAAAAAAATAGAATGAATCTGAAGGCGTGCTGCTTTAATCATGAACAGTCAGTGGTAAAATGATATTCGGAATGTAGATTTTTATTTCTTTGAATATTATTTTCATTTACGTCTTGCTCATAACAAAACTTTGTTTACATTTGCTACCTCCATTATTGTTTGCTGTTTGTAAATTTGTATTTTTGTCATGAATAAAAAAGTGCAATAAATTTTAATTTGAACAAGAAAGTGTTGTACAATAAATTATTTAGTTACTGTTACACCAAGTTAAGCTATTATTTGAGCATTTCAAATATTTGTGGTATTACTTTATAATCATCGTTTTATTTTATGTCCATCTTACGCATGGGAATACAACCCCGAAAGAAAAAAAAGGAAAACGCATTTTAAAGCTATTATAGTCAATTTTCTCGGATGATTTTTTAGCCCCGTAATGTTTAATTTCAATTTGATAATCAACAAATTGCATATTTACTAGAATTTGTATAAATTAATACAAAATCTAGCAGCCTGGTGTCTGTTAGGACATATAATTATAAATGACGCCATTGCATATTGTCACTTTAAAAGGTTTTATAAAAACACACGGTAATTAGGTATTCTACAAAAGTAAGTAAACAACCCCAATATACTAGTAATCTGTATCTCAAATCACTCAACTCGACTCAGCCCTGTTCATCTGCTTTAATACTGGAATAAATAGTGTAATTATGAAGCAGACTAACGTTAGTTATGACAAATTGAAAGCTTACGTGTAGGATCTTACAGTATAACATATATTTATACTATAACAGTGCAAGAAAAATTCCAAAGCGATCATGGTGCGATCTGGCGAATTATTATTTCTGAGACAAATTTAATGTAGTTTTAGATGAATTACTATTACTATTTAAATAAATTACTTGATAAATATATGTATATAAGCTTAATATACATTTGTATCATTTTACAATAACAGCTTTTTGCGTGAGAAACACATTCTTTACTTTCGTGTATATTTGTTAAGTTGTGTCGTTAAATGTTAACGCGCTTTTATTCTATTAAAGTGTGAACAAGGGCATATTTCTATTAACGTAGATTTCATTTTTAGTCTGGTGATAAGATATCGACCTGATTTGTTGACAAATAGGAATTATGACAAAAGACTTGTCAAGAAAATATGTCAAGAGATAAACTTTCTCATTAACTTTCTACGAATGGTCTCAGATTTGATGTTATAAAACTTTAGAAATGAAACTAATTAGAATACCACTCATATGCTGAACAGAACTGAATCATGCTATATTAGCTTACTTTTAAATCAATTTCTGAGTAAGTGAATTAATCATAGCTTGAAACTGTGTTTATGATATCATGTATACATTACAGAGGCGGTAGGAGGATGTTTTATCTCTATATCCAAGTTTGTAATGAACACATGTCTGATATATCTGCTTAGAATATTTGTATGAATCAAACTATCTCTTTTCATTCAAAGATCTGAGATCGACCGATATATTACGTATTATCACGCATATGCCGCCTTCATCTCTTACGCTTTATCTAGTGAATATGGCATATATCATACTAATAAGTAGAGATTTTGAAATATTTTAAAGTAGGCAAAGTACGAGTACGAAATTTCAAAACATTATCTTTTCGAAATAAGATAATATTATATTAATTATTCATTTAAAGCAAGCAAACTTTGTTTTTATTTTACGTCTTTTTCCGCAGTAGCTGCATCGGAACCAGTTAGACATATGAAATCTTCAAACAAATATTCACAACTACGCGAATATATAGGAGTTTACTAACGTCATGATTTTTGCCCCGCTGTGCTTCCTTTTTTCTCTTACATTTTTTTCAACTTAACCCGACGGGAACGAGAACCAAATTTTCTCTTTTTTCATTTGGAAGTAAGGACTTTAAAAAGGGATTTCACTGAGTTTTTTGATGTGACGAGACTAGAAATATATTTGTAGAATTTTATACCATTTGATAAAAATTTGTACTAGTAACTTGTTTGCAAAATTTCAGTTCCTTCTTTCTAGAATAACCAATTTAATTGCGCAAAATAATTTATAAATGAAAAACACTTGAAAATCTTTTACTCGATTCGGGCCAAAAGTAAAATTTTTAATTGAAGTCTCGGTATATTTTAAAGTCTTCTTCATATTTTTGTTCGTTTTAAATGCCCCAAATCGATCTTAATTAGATTTTCAAATTTATATCTGTAGGTTCTTTGACCTCAGAGGAACTTCTTAAAAAGATTTACGTAAAACTACTACCGGGTATGTCGGATATCCATAAATAATTCATAATGCATATCATTAGTTTCAAACAGTTTGATATCACCGGTATCTCACTGATTTATTTCATAAAAGATATACTTGTTAACACTGTTTGTATTTACATAATCACAGAAAAAATACTTTTTATCTTAAGTTTGAAACTATTCGAAAAATGCTATAAACAATTTACAGCCATGAGAAGCATTGTTAGATTGTTTTGATGCTTATTATATGGTTTGATATGAAATAAGAAATCAATAAAATGAAAGTAATATACAACATGTGGTATTAATGAACATCTATGTAATGATGGTGTGAACGCGCGTATTGTTAACATCAAAACATGTATGTATTAAAGCCTCGGTCTCACTTACTCCCGGCAGAGCCCAGGACCATCCCGGTAAGTTACCGGGATGATCCGGGACGATCCGGGATGAAATTATTGTTGCGGTCACACTTACCCCGGCAGCACTACGGTAGTTCCCTACTAACCACCCAGGATGCGCTCCGGATCATCCAGGCAGAGCCCAGGTGAAGCTACGGTTCATGCCGGTGCTTCCCCGGTCGTTCCCGGATGACGCCGGAAGAGCCCCGGTTGACCCAGGCAGAGCCCCGGTCGATCCAGGCAGAGCCCCGGCAGAGCCCAGGACGATCCAGGCAGAGCCCCGGTAGAACCCCGGTGGATTGAAAACGCCCGAAAATGATAACTTTGATACATAATTTTTATTTAATATAATATCTATTGTTCCAGAATAGTAATTCATGATGATTTTCTGAAAAATCCTTATGCCATACTGGAAAGAAGGGAAATGGGAAGGCTTTTAATACAAACAAGTTCAATCATCACAAATTGTCCTTATTTTTTTGAAATGATCCGGGCTTTGCCGGGGCTCTACCGGGATCAACCGTAGCTCTACCTTTATCCTCCGGGGCTCTGCCTGTAGTTACCGGGGCTCTGCCGGCATATACCGGGGCTCTACCGTAGCTCTACCGTAGCTCTGCCGGCTATATCATACCCCGGATCATCCCCGGTTTGTGCCGGCAGAGCTACGGTGCTTTCCCGGTATCACCCCGGTCGTTCCCGGCAGAGCTAAGGATGATGCCGGCAAAGCTATACCTTCCCGGATCATCCCGGACCACCCCGGTGATATTAAATATTTTATTCCATCCGGGATCGAATGCCGGATGTTCCCGGATCATCCCGGATCATCCAGGACGTTGCCGGCAGAGTTACGGATGTACCCCGGTTGTTCCCGGTCGTACCCCGGTCGTTCCCGGATCACCCCGGACGTCTACCGGGGCTCTGCCGGGGCTCTGCCGGGATGTAAGTGAGACTGTAGCTTAACAAAGCTGGTTTATTCATAAAATTTAATAATTTAAGTAAAAGGTACTGTGTTAGAAAATACGTACATGTATATACATGTATATTCAGTCTTACGCAAGTATCAAAACCAAGTTGGCAATGGCTAAATTATTTTTCTCTGACAGAATAAAGTACACACCAATAATACATTTTAAAGTTCAGTTAGCGATTCTTTCATGTTTATTTTACTTTGACGTTTATTGGCCATTCATCTCTTTTAGAGGAACCGTTTTTATGCATTAATAAACCACGCGCGTGCATGTGTGAAATCAATTTCCTTCGCGCAATTATAACCTACCCTTCAATCGGATAACAAATACCGTTCTTAAATGGTTTTGTTTGAAATCATTTTATGTCTCCAATAAAAGCCTATGTTGAAATCTCCCGTATCGATATATTACCGTAAATAACTGACTAATGTAAAATACTTGCGTTAAATGTGATGGAAGTTACGATAAAAAATGATAAAAAGTTCGGTTTAATCGTTCACTTTTAAGAAAGTACCATTGCCTTCCGGACAAAAAGATGTAGTAACTGATAACATAACAGTTAAGAATGATATCTTAATGGTGTGTGTGCGAATACACTAGGTCAGACGACTTTGTTTTTTCCCGTAATATATGAATAACATAAAATGGTTTACCCAGACAAACAAATTATTACATACGACATTTTAACTATA